CAGAAAGAAACCACCCTCTTTGGCAGGTCCCCCCCATGTCACAATGTTGAATGCACTTTCCATTCTTCCCTTTCTCTCCAAGGGAAACGTCAGGAGTTGGGAGTATTTTCCTGATGTTCTTCTGGGGAGGAAGGAGGTGCTGTAGTAGTAAGTGCCCTCATTTTCCTCTGTCCCTTGAGGTGCTTGGATTTACCCTTGACTACAATGCAGAAATCTCTTAATTGGTCTCACAAAGGTGTGTGGATTGTGGTGAAGTCAGTATCTCCACTGAGGGTCTGGGGCTTCCTAGTCTGGAGTCTTGCTGACATTGCTTATAAATCTTCCTGAATGTCAATTCTCATACGCCCCTAGGACAGACTACCGAAATGTAATTAATTTGCTGCCAGAGGGAGGTAGAGGGGGAAAAAAATAATTACTTCATTTCATTTAATTTATTCACTAATTTAAAGACACTTGAGGTGGATAATAGTGAAAGATGTAAAGAAATAAATACACTTAAAATATGGTAGAAGTCAAACGGAGGAAAGGCAGGAAACCATCTTGCTAGCATTCATACAAACAGAGTTAAATTAACCCTGGATTTCTGGAAGGAAAAACAGCTACAGCGCAATATGGTGAGGAGGTGGGGGGGAGAGCACATTTTTTATTGCCTGATAAAGGACTTTGGTTGTGGGCTCAAAGAGTGGAATTTTTCTGCTCTTGAGAGCAGGGTTCTACATTTTAGGAGTGATTTTTTGGAAATCTCTTCATGTAGAGGATGATGAATTTCAAGATGGAGAATATCTTCACAGAGAGTTTGGTTGTAGGACAGTGTACGTCCACCAGTACTCAGAGATGCCTTGGCTGTGTTTCTGAGTTACTACTTAAACTGGTAACACATGGCATTTTTTTGGGGGGGGGAAAGTAATTATCATAATACTGATTTCTCTGTTTCCTATGTCTCCCACTGGGTTCGGTTTAAGTGACCACAGCCACACCATGTAATACCTCAGCATAATCCTCATGTGGTAGTCTATAAAGCCACCCCATGTGCCCATTGCTAGTCACTGACTTGGTGAAATGGTGCATGGACCCATGCCGCCATCTTGATTCCTGATATTTCCCTCGTGTGGTGGTGGGGGGGGACTTCTGGCTCAGAGTTTGGATCCTCATTGGAATTTTCAGTAGGTAGAATATGTTCAAGTTTACAAGAACATTCTGGGCAGAACAGATTTTCTATTTTAGGAGAGTGGTTCTCAAGGCGGGATCTCGGACTAGCACTTGGGCTAGTATCACCTGGCAATTTACTAGAAATGCAAATTCTGAGGTCTTGTCTCAGAATGACCATCACAGAAACCCTGGGAGAGGACTCAGCAATCTGTCTTAGCGTGTTCTCTGGGCGATCTGATGCATGGTCAAGTTTAAGAATTGATCCTTTACGCAAACCCAATGACCTTCTGATCTGATTCAATACATCGGTAGTTCCCAAATAGCACCGTTCATTGGAGCTACATGTGGGACACTTCCAAGGACAAATCCCTGGGTCCCGGGCTTAGAGATGGGATTAGTTGAAATGGAATAAGGTACTGAATCAGAATATTAAAAAATTCCCTAGAAGAATATAATCTACAGCAGAATTTGAGAATTACAGAAGTGGGATATCCTGGTGATTCTGCAGCTATGTGCAATTCAGATTTGGGGTATGAATAATCATTAAAAACAGCAAAAAAATTCTGTAGTGCTATAAACACTTTTAGATTTGCATAAGGCCTTCCTCATTCTACTGGTAAGGGAATTTGAGATCCAAGCGCATAGCTCACCTCTTCCTGGTGACTTAAGTAAAGGTTCTGCCTCGATGACTACATTTGGGGAAGAAGAGCATTTGTCCTCTCATTAGATGCTGATCACACTCAGCCCATTTGATTATTTTGTAATCTGGCTCAACAAGGCAGCTGAGAAATCAGACTCCGATGCAGATGAGCACTTGTGAAAGTCCCTCTGAAATAACTCTGGCTTTAGCCTTAATGGTTTTCTAATTTGGGAGCCAATCATCTGGATAAATGCCAGATTAACTGGATAATTGCTCAGCCCTGCACCTCACTGTAATTGGAACATGAGTTACTCGATGCTATTCCAGTGCCCGGCCAGGGTCAGATGCCCTCTACCATGCAGGCCCGGAGAATCGCTTAATACTAAACGATTACATAAAACGTCCTCAGGACACAGTGCATAACATGGTGGTTATCAGAGGCAGAGGAGAATAGAAAGGCGGGAGAGACGGGGAAAGACGGATCAACGGGCAGTACGTCACAGTTGGACAGAAGAAATCCTGATGTCCCGCGACAAAGAAGGGTTACTATGCGCAAGACCCCGTGCTGTGCGTCTCAGAAAGCTCCAGGGCAGGTTATTAAAGGTTTTGCCATGAAGAAATGCTGAATGCTTCTGGATGTAGATACGTTTAACCTGATTTAAACACTATAGACTACAAAGTAGGCAAACATTGAAAGGTCACACAGTAACCCACGGATGTGTACGATTTTTATGTTTTTACAGATGTGTCAATTAAATAAAAAGAAAAAAGAAATTTCTCAAGACACAGTTACTTCTGCACCATATAAAGTCATGGTCAAGTCAGGTCATATTCAAAATCCAGCAGATGTCTGCTGGCTCTTAGGGATAGCTCATCCCGTTGTGAAATGAAAATTGCCCGGTTGTTAGAGTACCTTTTCTGACCCAGGTGAGTTGGAAAAAGTACCCAAGATCTTGGCGGTCACAATCCCTTCTCTGTAGAGAAAGTCACCAATACCTTCACACAGATCCTCTCCGCTCTCCCCAGGGGCTGTAAATGGTGGACATTTGCCAACCCAACTGCCTCCTCCTCTGGGAACCGGACTTCGGAAGGCTTGGTCTCACTCTCTCTCCCTCCTCCTACCTCCTCCACCTCCACCACCAAAGAGGCAGCCCGAGGACCCGCCGATCAAGATATTTAAATAAGGCCAGCCTCTTCCCTTTGCTCTGAGATGCAGTTTATGTTTTAAAAACCTCTCTTGGTGACGAGGCCCAGACCAGACTGTACCTGAGACCCACTTCTCAGCCCCTCCTCTTCCCTATTCTGCCTTCTCTTCTAGGTGTTTCCTGGAGAACACTCTTCAGTGAATTACAGGTCCTCGAAGCCCTGCCTCAGACGGCTTTGAGACCTTAGCTATCTTCTCCATCATCATTACCCATGCATCCTGAGCGCCGTAGGACCAGAAATGACAGAGGACTTCAGATGGGCAATTGGATCAGCAATCGCAGTCACCTGCACGGTCGTCTCAGGGGACACAAGGAGTAGAAAGAACAGCAAAGTTTTCTTTTTTTTATCCACAAAGTACTGGACTGCCACATTTATCACCTCATTTTGAGTCGCCCATAGAAGATTCAAGTTTCCCTGGATTGCAAGATTGTCTTCACTCCGATTCCACTATACCCTCAGGAGTGAAGACAGGGATGGCATGAGGGGTATCCCTACCTACACGGCACCCCCGGATGCCCACCGGAGTAGGTCCCCCAAGCAAACCTCATCCATAATACAGGTTCCTACAGGAAAGAAGATCTGGAAACAGTTACCTTGGGAAATGATGAATTATGAATTGGTAATAGGTCCGTTCCAAACAAGGCCATTTCAATGTGATGGACTTGTAATCAGTTCTACGTAGACGGACTTCAAGATAAAAGTCTCTCTCTAGCCTTTGTCCTCCGAGTGAGTACGTCACCCAGCGCCTAGCTTAATGATTTAGCAGTTTTAATCCATTAAATATAGATATGTTACATATGCATTAAATAACCAGAGAGAAGGTATAAAACATGATCAAGGAAAAAAAAACCTATTAAATATGTGCTTCCTCAAAACTAACTCTTTATTCATGACTGCAGAGCTATTATCAAGCATTAAGGGGAATCTCCTCTCGGGCACAGGGGATGCTAATATTTGACCCACAGCAGGTACCCACACACTTTTTCCTTTGCTAAAGAGAAGCATTTTTTTCCCCTGTTTTGTTTCTTACCATTTTGAACCTCACCGAGATTTGAGTACACGTAACAACAAGTCACTCGTCTGACCCCAAAGAGCCAAATTATCACTCTCCCGTCTCATGGAATAATATCATAGCTGACTGCTGTTTACCAATATTAATTCCTGGGTACTTTTACAAACAGTCAAACATCTCCCTCATGCACCTTAAGAGGGACTTCAGAGATTTACCAAATAAACACTTAGCCGGCTTTCAAACTCACTTGAAATATATGAATAGGAGCTTTCCGAAAAAGAAAAAGGGATTTAAGAGGGGGCTTCTAAGTCTGTCACTTAAGAATCTCTGAATGTGGCCATGAATTATTTTTCCATCTTTATTTCCCAGGTTGAAACTCTGCGTCTACCTGCTTTGTGCATCTGAATCAAAAATTTTGGAAAAAAAATATTCAGGACGTGTAGAAAACGACCCTGGGTAGTTTGTGACTCTGAGCTTTTGCTCTGTGTCCCTCTAATCTGGAACAGTCCTGCTTCTCTATTCTGTCTGTCCAGATCCAAACTGTACAAACTTAGATGGCCCGTACAGCCCGTTAAACTCTCCATCCTAAATTCCTGCAAGACTTACGACTTTCACTATTTTTTTTTTTAACCTTTGTCATTTATTGATTGTTTCTGTGTCAAGCATTGCTGGAATCGGCAATAGTCCTCTTCGCTTAGTGCTATGGTCTGAATGTTCGTGATATCTCAAAATTCTATGTTGAGCCAGGCACCGCGTGGCACACGCCCGTAATCCCAGCGACTCGGGAGGCTGAGGCAGGAGGATCGCAAGTGCAAAGCCAGCCTCAGCAGTTTACTGGAGGCCCTAAGCAACTTATGAGACCCTTTCTCGAAATAAAAACAAATAAAAAGGCTGAGGATGTGGCTCAGTGGTAAAGCACCCCGGGGTTCAATAATCCCCAGTGCTTTAAAAAAATTCTTTTTTTTCATTTCTTTCCCCAGATAAAGTACTCACCTATTACGCTGAGCTCCGCGCTGGAAAAGATAACTCCATGTTTATTCTCTGCCACACACTGATACATCCCGGCATCCGAGAGATTCACGACGGTTATGTTGAGCGTTCCTTGCTCGATCTGAATTCTGTCCTGTGGGGGGGGGGGGGAGGAGAGAAAATGCCAAAACAATGACCTTCTGCAACTGAGACCTGAAGGCAATTCTGCTACACGTTCTATCAAAGGGGACTTAATGGAAAGAGAACAGCCATCGTACAAGCAATTTACATAACATGATCCATGCGTCTGTCAACTAAACTCGTGGCAGGTCAGATGCTAAATAGAACGTCCAGGGCATCAGTGGGTAAATGGAATTTAAATGGTGGGATTCTCTTGAGTTCTCACTGATTTAATAGTGAAACCATTCAGATTAATATCCCCCTCCAAATAGATGAACTTGAAATGTAAATGGGTTTTTTTTTTTTTTTTTTTTTACTTCAAGGCTTTGGGCTTAACTGGGCAAAGTTGGGGGTGGGAGTTGACCGTGGAGGGCTGAGGACGCTCAAATGACCAGCAGGCAACCCTTTGAAGGTTCCCAGGATTATAACCTTCTTGGAGGAAGCGGAGGAAAATGTTTAATGTCAGTTCAGGTTTACCCCCGAAATGCATTTGAACAATTTAACGTTCCTGTACTGGATGGCATTGGGTGGTATGGTGGAAGGTGGGGACCATCTTCTGCGAGTCTAGCTGTGGGGGCAAAGACGGTGTGTGGCACAAAAGACCTTGGATGTCTGTCACCCTGAAGGTGTTGCAACTTGCAAATCCAGCTCTGTAAGTATCACCTCCTCTCCAAGTCCCCCTGCGTTAAACAGAGGGACCGTCACGCCTGTTACCTGGGGACCTACAATCCAGCCATTTGTTTGAGCTTGGCCTTTATCACTGAGAGATTCCTGCACCAAGAGGAGCCCTTCCAGGCAACGGAGGAGGAGGTCCGTGTGACCCGGGTTGGTGAGGACAAACAGTCCCCTTTCTCTTCCTGGTGCCCAGAGCAGTAATCTTTCCTAGGGCTCTTATGGGTGGAGGACGGGGGGACGAGACCTGACCATGAGAAACAGGCTCTCAGTTTGGTGCCTGAGGAAAATGTCAAATCCCAGTTAACATTTGAAGTTTAGCGGGGGAAAACACAATAAGGAAAATTCAATCGGACACCATCGTTCCTCCTCCTTCATTCAGCATTCTCTGCCACGATCTTATTCCATTTAGATGGAAATTTCCAGAATCAGATTGATACCCACTCCCTGTAGTGGATCCAAGGATGTACCTTGGTCTGTACCGGAGCAAAAGGACATGTCCCAGGCCTGCTGTTGGGATCTTACCCAGGGCAGAGCCACAAATATCCATCTGGGAAATAAAAAACCAGTGCTTTAGGATCGATGCTGAACTGACTCAACGCGGCTTTGGAGACCCGGGGGTTTATGTAGGGTTTCTCTTGGTCACGTGCATTCCCTTTCCCCCTTTTCCACTATGAGTTGGCCTTTCGTTGCGGGTGGTTTTGGAAACAACTCCCTGTTTCCATAGCAACGAGGCCACCTTGAACAGGACTGTCCATCCCGAGACACGACAGCGGCTGGCCATCCGAGTTTGCTTACCCGAGTTAACAGTGGTTCGCCATTCTTCAGCCACCTGTACGTGGGCTTGGGTCTCCCGTTCGCTTTACATTCCCAAAACACGTTCTCCTCCATGGCCACGTGGATGTCACTGATCTTCTGAACCCAATTAGGTTGAGCTGTAGCCGTGGAGAAAGCAAGGAACAGGGCGTAAACGGGGGCGTGTGCTCAACCTGTTTTCATGGTATGCCATCCAACGGGAACCTAAGTCTTTAAATAAGATTCTTTTCCCAGATGTTATGCAAACAACAGAGTGTTGTTGGGGTGTGAGTGTGTGTGGGGGGGCGTATCTGTACCCTACTCTGAAGATTCTCTTTGTGATTTTTCAAGCTTCCACTGAAATTAATTTTTTAATTATTTTTTTTTTTGAACTTTCAAAATCACTTATGGGCAGAAGGGGCAGAATGAACTGCCCCTCACCCTTACACATCTGTTGTTATAATTAGAAGGAGAAACCCTTTCCCACCCTCCCACCACGTCTGGCTGAGCTGCCGAGTTCTCGGCTCACACTGCGCTTCCACATTGCTCTGCGGCAAGAGGCAACCAAGTACCCAGGCTCAGGCCGACGGCACAAGTATATGATTGGACAGAACAACTTGCCGGTTATCCATTTAAAGATACCTGCCCTGCATTCTTCTTGTCCCTTCACCCTGATTGGAAAACGATCATAACTGAACAATCCAGGCACATAGAGAGGCTTTGAGCGACAGAAGGACCCCCTTTTCACCTTGAATGACCTTGAGGAAAAGCAGCCCTAGACCTACTTGTTTATTTTTGGATGGAGAAACACAAGAGCCACTTGGATTTATTTAAGCCACTGCATTTTGGGGGTGTCCTTTCTTAGTGTCACTTGGCCTGTCCCCGACTAACAGACTTCACTCCCACGTGTTGTGCAGACAAACTCTGGGACTCCTTTCTCCCTCAACAAGGCCATCACTGTTTATCACTGATGGTTCCGCACTGATGTCAGATTCCAGGACCGAAGCAGTACATCCCTGAGAAGCCCTGCTCTCTGAGTGAGTCTTGATCTTTACCGAACCTTCTGATGCACCTGGGTGCGGTGGCCCATGCCTGTGATCCCAGTGGCTCAGGAGGCTGAGGCAGGAGGATGGTGAGTTCCAAGCCAGCCTCAGCAAAAGTGAGGCTTTTGCAACTCCGTGAGACTCTGTCTCTAAATAAAATACAAAATAGGGCTGGGGAGGTGGCTCAGGGGTCGAGTACCCCTGAATTCAATCCCTGGTACCCAAAACAACAACAACGACAAAACCTTCTTATGCCATCAAGAGCTGCCCACAGTCTCACGTAGGAATTCAAAGCAGCAGGAAATTCTCTCACTGCCCCCAGCTGCGCACCACCTCCACCAGCCAAACGGTACCACAGTTTTCAAGCTTCCACTGAAATTAAATTTTTTTTTTAATCTTCCTTGGTCTCAAGGGACATAAAGACATGTTCCATCAAATCTTGCGTGGAGCACCGTGGAGGCCGTTAACTCTAACGTCACACGAATCAGGAAGGGGACCTTTTTGTCCAGAGTCACATGGAAGACATCGCAGCTCTCTCCTGGAGGCTCTCTGTCTACAGGATGTCTCTGGAGGGGCAGGGCTCCTGAGGCCCACCGGATCAGAGCCCATATCCGTCCGATATGAGAAGACGCTGCTCAATCTTCTTCACACGTCCTTTGACGGGCTTGACCCCAGCGAGCTTCATCCCGTGAGGCTTCGAAGCATCCACAATCGAACTCCAAAGGAAACTGCTCGGGTTGAGGCCAAACTGTGCGTGTCTTGCTTTCTCCGTCATAAACCAAAGTGGGGAAGCGCTCCGTGAGTCCCTCATCCAGTAGAGGTCTCCAGGTCCTTGCATACCTGAGAGCTTTCTTCTTTTTCCCATCTATGAGCAATTTCATATTTTCATTTTTCCAGAGAGCCAAACAGGTTTACCCATCCTCTACGGATGGGCCTGATGCATGGCTGCATAATACAGGAGGCCAAAAGGGTCAACTTCAAAAAAAAAAAAGTTAGAACATCAACAAGCATTAGCTTGAATGAAGGGTGATGACCTACATCCTCGAAAGAGCCGCCCCGTGGGCCGCGGCTCTCCATCTTCCTGCTTCTAATGCAGAGGGAGCCCCAAAGAACGCCTTTCCACATCTCCCCCCGGGAGGACCCCGATGTGCAACCCCCATAGGACTCACGGCTGCTGTGCGCCTGATTCACGTTCAGCGGCTGAATATTGACCCCCCCACACACCCTGCGTCGAGTCCAGGAAAACAGAGCAAACAAGAAAAGAACCAGAAATCTGTGTGCAATATTCACCACGAAGCCAAACTTTGGAAAAGACAGTGGAGGGGTGGGGGCAGAGGAGGGGGGGTGGGGAAAAATCCGGAAGGGCAAATGTAAGTTATGGAGCAATGTCAAGTTGAAGTTCAAAAGAGGAAACATCAAAACCACACGCCGAGACACAGATTTCAATGTCACGGGTTTCTCTGCAACACTTGGGCTTACGAGGAGTTGCTTTCTTTCAAACCTAGAGAAGGCAGGAAGGAAAAAATAAAACAAAAACCTTGCCATCTTATAAAGCAGGTGGGGCCAGGGAAGGAAGGTCCTGGGGAGAATTCTGCAAAGTTCTGATCCGTTCTGTTTCTTCCTTCGGGGACCCTGGGGGTCCTGGTACCTGAACCCACAAGGGCTGTTGTTTTTTTGCGGGGGCCAAGGTGAAATGAACAGCTCATTTGGTGTTTGTGGACCACCTCTGGGTTTTTAAAGTAAAAGGGATTCACAAAAGCTGAATCTGACGTACGGCAAACATCTGCTTCTTAAAGTGCATATCTGCACGCGGGCCCGTGGAGATGAGGAACAGAATAGCCTATTAGGTTAAAAAAAAAAAAAGAGAACGAAGTGGATTTTATGTTCACATGCCAACGGAAGATCTTCAGGGCAAAATCCCACCTAGTTAACAGTTTTCCTTCCTACTCACTAAGGTTGGATGAATCATAGCTAAGTGGGTGAGATTTTTGTGCTAGAATAAAGTTTGACGCTTAATAGAAATAGCTCATAAATCTCTTTGAGTCACCAGAGTCTATGGATAACAGACATTCCTGTTTAGTCCATTATAGGAAATATCATTTGTTAAACCCACCTCCACCTCCAGCTTTTTTTGGGGGGATTTGAGAATGGAGTTACCAGGGTCTGAACTCAGGGACACTCGACCACTGAGCCCCATCCCCAGCCCTATTTTGTATTTTATTTAGAGACAGGGTCTCACTGAGTTGCTTAGTGCCTTGCTTTTTGCTGAGGCTGGCTTTGAACTCACGATCCTCCTGCCTCAGCCTCCTGAGCTGCTGGGATTATAGGCATGTACCACCATGCCCGGCCATCCTCAATTTTTTCTTTTTTTTTTTTTTTTTGATGATGCATCTGGATATCAGATACCAAAATCCATCTACATTTTTCAACTCCATGTCAAAATACCAGCTCAGAGAAAGGCCCAGGCAGGATGGTTCAGTACTATTATTTCTAAATAGTATTATTCTAAATATTATTGTACCATTTAGTATTTAGGAATAAATACTAAACAAATGCTAAATGATTTTAGAACTATTGGGTACTAAAGTTCAGTACTACTGTATTTCTAAGTGCTTTCTTTAGTACTATACAGAGATAGTTGAAGGATGCGTTACCTACCAGTCTTCCTGTCCTGCCCTAAACTCCTCCCACCATCTGGCTCTGCCAAAAGTTAAGTAGTGCCCTGCCGCCATTTTGCCCCTGGATGATGTGCCCCTCTGGTGCTGAATAAAGCATCGCCGGTCCATGAAGGACCATTCCTCTTTTTCATTCTGAAATTCCCTTTTCCCGTGCTTTCCATACTGATCCCACATATTAAACGGAATTAAATTCACATGTTAAAAGAGAAACATCCATTTGGGCCTTCTGGGTTCTCCCAAGGTCAAGGCAGCTGAAGGACATGTTGAGAATATCGAGCGCCATCATCTTCTCTGGGACATGTTAGCCTCGTTTCCAAGCTACAAATTCAAACCGTGGGTTCAATAGTCGGGCTGGGAATCTGACCTTGTCACATGGCTAGTCTCTGAGACCGATGAACAACCCCTTCATCTCAATCTTTGTTTGTTCAATAACTGTCAGAATGACCTGAATCAATGTGGGCCTGTTCCAGCCGCGGGATTCAGCCTCTTTTCCAATCATCATCTTCACGGCGAGCAGATATCATTGGAACTCCACGGGCCAAGCAGTTCTCCAAGGTATGCGGCTCTCCAATTTTTCCCAAATCAGTGATTTTTTTTTTAACAGAAAGAAATGCTCGCCAAGGCCCTTCAGCTTTGGAGACTTTAGAATCTTAAAGAAAAGACAGAGACAGCCAAACCCCTCAACTCCTACTGAAAAGATGACCAGTAGACCTTTGCGATTCTTTCTGATGGAGAAGAGGAGTCCTTTCTGGGATTCGGTGGAGATCTTGCTACCATTGCTTAAGAGTCATATGGGTAGGGGGCTTCCTGAGTCTGAAGGTAATGACTTCACTTTAGTTTAACCACCGATCTGTATGTAGGTGCTTCCAAAATCTTTATCTCTAGCCTGGCATCCTCACACCATTCATGGAGACATGGAGATGCTCTCAGTGGACCTCAGACCCCATGTTACTCCTGTTGGCAGGGGCTCAACTCATTTCCCACGGCGATCACAGAGCCTTCCAGTCTATAAAAAATAGATTTCTTGAAACCCTCGCCCAACTTCCAATGTGTAGAAACCACCGGAAGCAAGAGCCAGCTTTATAAGAAAGGTAGGTGCTGCATTCTGAGTTTGGATCCGACTTGGGTCTCTGTTCAGCCATGAGAATCTCCCCTCTTCTGACTCCAGGTTCTCATCCATTCCCCACACAACATCAAAGGCCTAGAGCATCTAGGTTAGCGCCCCAGTTTAGCTACTGTGAATTGTGTTGCTATAAACACTGATGTGGCTGTGTCCCTGTAGTGTGCTGTTTTTAGGTCCTTTGGGTATAGACGGAGAAGTGGGATAGCGCTGCGTCAAATGGTGGTTCCATTCCCAGTTTTCCAAGAAATCTCCATACTGCTTTCCAGATTGGCTGCACCAATTTGCAGTCCCACCAG